GTAACTCCAATATTGCAACCGTATGATCTTAATCTCTATTGTATACTTGACATTGATACTTTTGACTTTGCTATTGGAGTGGTCCTTCAACAAGACTTTAGTAGGGACCTTCAACCTATAGCGTATGAATCACTCAAGCTTAGAAGGGCAATGCATAATTACTCTACACGTAATCAGGAATAATTAACAATTGTACATGCGACAAAGTTGTAGCGACAATATCTATTAGAAAAGCTAGTGGTTGTTCAGATTGACCATTGGCGCTTGCTACACGATTTGCATTTAGAAAATATGAAATTGCAACATCATCGTTAGGAAGAACAGTTGCACCTTTTTGATATGCAACTTCAATACAAGTAAGGACGACAACATACTATGCCAAATAATTTATCATGGAGACTAGACTTGAAGGACAAATCAAAAAATAAGGCAGAAATCACTACCATTAATAATACCATTTTAGATCTAATCAAAGAGGCAAAATAAAAAGAAGCTATGCAACAAAATACTTATTTTAAAATGATTAGCGATCGGTTAAAGATAGGTAATATATAATATCAGAATTACATTCTTAATGATAGCTTGCTCTATTTTAAGAAGTAAATTTATATATGTGACAATGTTAAACTCTAAATGGACATATTTCAAGAGAGACATTACATTCCAATATATAGATATTTGAAACAAGAGAAGATCCTAGAACGGATCTCAAGGACATGGTTTTGAGCATATTTGGATTGTGATCTTCAAGTCTTTGTACACTCCTGCGAGTCATGTTAACATAACAAAGCATGCAATTCAACATCTCCTAGTTTATTGTAGCCTATTTTGCTACCTATGACATGTTGAAAGCAGGTGACTATGGATCTCATTATATATTTTTTGCAAATACCTCATAATTATACTATAGTTGCCATCTTTGTGAATTGATTCTTAAAGAAACTTTACTTGGTTGTAATGCAATTGGATATTGATGTCTTAATGTTTACACAAGTCTTCTTTGATGTTGTCTTTCATCACCATGGATTACCTACTGTCATCATTTTATATTGAGATCCATGCTTCAAGAGAAGTTTTTGACAAGCTATATTCAAACTAATAGATACATGACTTGCCATGTCTACAGCCCTCTATTTCCAAACAAATAGACAAACAGAGCATGTAAATCAAACCTTGGAAGATATGATGCATGTATTTGTGGTGATTCATCATAATAATTGGGATGAATATTTGACAGCCTTAGAGTTTATTTACAACAATAGTATTCAAGAAAGTACCAATCATTCACCATTTTTTCTTAATATTGCTCAATATTTCATTATACTAGCAACTCTCGATCATCCCATCAACACCAATAATCCAACATTGAAAGAATTTATATAACGGCTTACAACGGCCTTACAAGTAGTATGGCACTACTTCTTTATTGTACAAAATTGATAAAAGTAGTATGTAGATAACCATCAAAAACATAAGATCTTCTAAGAAGGTGCTGAGATATTACTCTCTAATACCAACTTATGACTTGCTACATCAATCCAAATCCACAAACTAATACCTCGGTGGCTTGGACCTTTCTGCATTTCTACAAAGATTTCTAATGTCGCATATCGTCTTGAACTTCTACCACATATTCGAGTCTATCTAGTCTTCTATATTTTGTAATTATAGGAATTTTATATCAAGCCAAAGGGCTATTGAGATCGATATCAACTACCACCACCACTAGTTGTAGTTAATGACCAATAAGAATATGAAGAGGACAACATTTTGGAGCATTGCTACCTTTGTTGTGGCAATAGGCATCCACAACTTTAGTACAAAGTTCTTTGGAAAGGTTATCCCATTCACAATGTAGCATGGTAACTTCTACAAAACCTCACCTATTTTCAAGAGACAATTTGAAGATACCATTGAGAGAAAAACAAGGATGTTCTACACTAGTAAAGGGGGATTAATTCTAACAAGGTATAGATAAGATAATTATATAAATAATTAGAACTATAGAAGTTTTTAGAATTGAAATTAGATTAATGGATTAGGTGGGATCTATCACAGAATTTTCTAAAAAAGGCCTAAGATCGTTATTTAAATGGAGCCTACTATAAAACCTTCTAGAAAAAGAAGTTTAAGGCGGTTATCTAGGTGGGATTTACATTCTAGAAAGTTTAGGATTGTAGGACAAGAAATAAATAAGACTAGCCAAGGCCTTTTAGGATATTTGGTAAATTATAGCTTCGGACCTTCCTCTTAGTAAAGTTTGGTTCTGCATCTTTTTGTTTAGATCTGTTTTGTTTTGTTTGTGTTGGCTCAGTTCTGCATTGCATATCATAATCTCTTTAATTCCGTTTAGTTTTATTCTATGATGAGGCTTTATGTTGCTATAGATTAGAAGGATCTTGAATTTTTGAGATAGTCTAGTCTTGATTCAATATTAAATGAAGATAAATAGTATTAATGGAGAAGAAATAGAATCTTAGTAAGTCTTAGAGGTAATTATTGTAGTTTGTTTAGGATTTTTACTTATTGTTGAGTAGAGAATATTAGTTATTAAGATTAATATCTATATTGACCTTTTATCTATATTTATTAATTATGAAAAAACTATAAATATTAGTTAGTAGTTAGAAGAAGGATGAGAAAGAATCTCATGTCTTTTTAGTTATTTATAAAGAAAGTAGAATTTATAGTATATTTAAATTAATTTTATTTCTATAAAAAATCATCAAGGCTAGAAAGTGTAGCTTCAAATTAATTTTAATACTATAAAAATATTACAAGAATTTTTAGAATTTATTTAGAATTTTTTAGGAATTTTTAGAATAATTTTCAAGACTTTGATAAAAATGAATTTTATCACTTTGGAAGCCATTATGAAGAAAAGGAGTAAGATTTGAAGGCCACACATAGGTCTTAGGCTAATTGGATGTTTTTAAAGACAATGGAGAAGTCAAAAATAAAAAATTATTGGTTTTACTAGTAGAAAGTAGGAGGACTAGCAACTACTGTAGTCCTTGTAAGAAGGAAAGTGCACAAGTCCTATATGGGTTGTAGCACCTCGAAGGTAGTTAGGAAGATAAGACTAAGGCCTTGTAGCCTCTCTTAGCAACCTATATATACTACTTCTTAGCCTTGGTGAGGCTTGAACTCTTGATCTCTTAAGCAAGTTATCCATGAGGTAGATATTATTTATTTAACTTTTCATTTATTTATTTGTTATTTTTCAAACCTTCATAACCTACTCATAGTAACTTAGATTTTTATGTTTTTTTATACCATTAGAAAGATAAAAAAGATCAAATTTCTAAAAATATATTTTTTTAATTTTATTTTTTATTGAGTGAAAATTCAATGAACAGACTATGATTAATTTTGTAGTGTACAATTGCTTAATTGCACTTGTTCCACTCATTTTGTGTTTTGCTTCTTTTGTTCTTGTTCTTACTACTTTCACTTCACATCACCTATTACAAACAACTTTTAATTGAGGTTGTCTTGTAATTAGGTTAAGAAGTGAATTTTACACTCTTAACAACATAAAACGCCTTGTGAACTTCCTATGATCAATGGTAAAATATTATGTTAACTCTTGACAACCTTGAGTTTTTTGATGAAAATAAAGGGAGGTACATGCAATAAATGAGAGCCACATTTCATTTCTGTAGAATCTAAACTTTTTTGATAAAAATAGAGACCAAATGAATGCATGAAGGTTCCCGCTTTGCAATATAATGTTTTGTAAAATGACCTATGAATTTTATGAAACAACCTATAAACTTTAGAGAAGGTAAACTTTTTTGATGAAAATAAAGATCCATCTATACAACTATTGAAAACCACTATTTATTTTCATTGAGCATTTTTAATATATAGATTAAGTGGCAACCATGATTGTAATCATGATAAAAAAAAAAAAAAATGGTAATCATGATAAATGTTATTGGTTTTCGTTGATTGCATATCCAATTGTAGAAAAATGAATGTAGATTTCATTTTTTTTTTTTTTTTTTTTTTTTTTTTCATGATGGTTATGATGGATGGATTGATTTAGTAAAATTTTGGATCGATTTAACATTCTCATGTATATATATTGAGCCATGATTTTGAATAAATAATATTATAATAAATACATGTTAGTAAGAAATTTCCTATTTGAATTTGACATTGCCATTAAATATTAAGGTAGGTTTTAATCTTATCAACTACAAAAAAAAATAAAGAAGTAAAAAGATAAAAATATAATTTAATACATATTGAGAATATTTTCATTAAAAATGCTAATAGATTTTAACATGAAAAAATAAAAAATGAATAATTTTGTGCTTTCAACAAATACATTTTGGCAATTGTTTTATATTTTTTCCAAAGTATATCTATTTATTGTAATTTTTATAGAAGTTATCACAAGTTGAATACAAAAAATATTAGAAAAAAAAAAAAAACAATTAAATTAATCCTTGCAACAAGAATCCTTTGTAAATTTGGATTTCAGTAGAAAAACTTGATGTTCTGCTTATCCCACCTTAGGTTAAAATATACAAATCTCTCCTAGCTCTCTCTTAGGGTAGTTAAAATGAATACTTTTGTGCAACAAAATGACTTCACAAAAACATCCAAGTATGCAAAATGTCCTAAAATACACGTTGCACCTGAAAACCAGATTAGACAAATTTACGAAAAAAACCCACAATTATTTGTGCCATGTCAGCAAAGTAGCGCCCGACATCATTTGTCCTTCCAGGAAGGACCCAAAGCCGAGGATTACAAGAGCAAAAGTCCTTTTGTGCCACTTTTCCTCCGACGCAACGCTGGCGTTGAGTGCGCAGCGGCTCCTTTGAAACACGTTCGAGTTTCCGTCCGAGAACATATGCGGGACACGTGCTTCTCAAATTTCCTGTAAAAAGAGGGAAAAAACGGGGAAAAAACGGGGAAAAACAGGGACTCACTAACTGGGTGTTGTGGATCTCGGTTATCCTCTCTATCCATCGCATGGTTTTTTCTTACAGCTCGTGACAACCTCGAGAAGCAAACCTGGTTTAGCACATGTGTTCGCGGTGTTGCTTTTTCCTCCTGATTTTGACCTCGGCTGGTGTGCCCCCGATCCATGAATCCCACTTTCGCCACTACGAGGATCCATGTTGCTCAAGCTGCGGGATCGGGGCATAGGTAACGGATGATGTTCTACTGCGGATGGTGCAGCAGTGACTCAGGATTCGTTCCTGGGGCTGGGCGATGAAGAAGTTGTTATGGCGCTAGAATCTTCCTCTTGCAAGTGGCCCTAGGCCAACCAAAGTTGCTGCGGTAGGTGGAAGAAGTGCTAAATCAGTGAACGCCCCGAGCCAGGCTTTGAGGCTTATTCTGGGCTGGTCTCTTGCTTTTTTACCCCGACGCTTACGGGACCACAATGTGCCCCTGGCTCGCGCATCGCTTCGCTGCCGGCGATTTAGTATAGCCAGAAAGCGGAAGTGGGAGTGTGCTTGCCAGTTTCGCCACCACCGCTCCTCCTTGCAATGCATGCAGGTGCAGTGGAGTCGCGGCTGCCCGTCTGCATCGCAGGTCAAGCTTTGTCGCTACCGTCGTCTGGTTGTTTGGAACCCTAATTTTTATGACAAGTTGTGGCGAAGATTAGTCCGAGAGGTTCTTGGATTGCGAGTTGGTGGTGGTGCAGAGTAGGGCATGTGGAGCAGCGCGCGTTTGGAGGAATGCGAAGGGTGGTGTTGTAGCATGAGTTTGTGGATCGAGAGGTCGTGATTGGGTTAACAGCTTGGAGTAAGATCTTGGGTTGGCGTGGTGGTTTGTCGTTGTGTAGAAGAGGGAGGGGCGAGGTTGAAGACGAGGGGATATGGTACTGGATCGTCGCTACGACGACTTCGCCAACAACAACACCTACTCCGACTTCTCGAATAGCAAGAGCAAGATGCCCAGATCGAATGCGTGGGCCACAACAGATCCCGAGATCAAGCGCAAGAAGCGTGTTGCCAAGTACAAAGTGTTCACGTTGGAGGGGAAAGTGAAGGATACCGTAAGGAGTAGCTGTCGCTGGATCAAGAATAAATACTTAGTTGTCCGATATGGCCAGTGTTGATCAGTCTTGTACAGCATCAGCTTCGCGGCCCGAGAAGCATGAAGGTATTACCTACCGTCACTCCTGCACCAGGTTAATGTAGAATCTCTAGATGTGAATGTCTTTCTGGCATGGACTAGTTATGTATTGATGCCGGGGTTCATTCTGGGGTTCATAGCAAAGATGCTGTAAAGCGGTTTGAATCCACAGATCAGCATCCGAATTCGGACGCTGGGTCTGCGTTGTTTTGATTATAATGTAGGTCATTCTTATGAGGGATGCGGTCTCATTGGACCCAATTTTTTGTTCGATAATTATAGTGTCTTATCAATACGAAGAAATTCTCATATCCCATTCCAGATAGTCAAATTTTCTCAGATTTGAGTGCATGAGAATGATGGGTAACGAAATCTTCATACTACATTGATGTGAGTCGCCTCCAATGCCGCAATTGTTATCTGATGTTACTGGAGCTCAATCCGTGGAACGGAATCAGTAATGCAGCGAAGAATGTTTATCATCTGAATTTTGTAGAGAACTATTGCACATAGTCGTAGTCTCAAGGTATTGAAGTAGAATTATCATTTCCTTAAGGATCCCTCGAAGGATCGGCTGTCATAATTTATCTAATATAGTCGAAAAAGTTAAGAGGTTGACTGTGGAAAATGAGCTCTTTTTGTCCGATACTGTTCTGTTTATCCAATGACTATCTAGTCCGGACTTTTCAGCATTATCATTGTCATCGATACTAGAAGAGGCGTCTTAAGCTCTGGGTTGACTTATTATTTTGAAAAAAGAAAAAGGTATCAATCTACGGTTGTATGTGTGTTCCGCTCTTGTAACTGTTAGGGCAACAACAGTTAAGATAATTTAGCGATCCATGAATTGGACGTACACGCAAATCTCTCGAAACTACTTCGTAGATTGTCCCTAAACGCCATGGGAAGCATGGACTGCGAATTGCGTAACCACTGAGAAGGCTCCTAGGAAGCGGAGGCTTGCACGCTACCATTGTTCTGCGCAGGCATGTTGTGATTGAGAAGGCTTGTTCAATGACCCTTGTTGCTGCTGTGCAAGTGCTGTGTTATATCGATATTATCACGTCGGTTTGAAAAGCTGGATTCAAATGGCAATTCTTTTTACGTTTCTTGTTTTAATTCTAAAAGTGCATGGTAATATGTGGGGAAGCCTAAATTAGGTACTGGACTAACTTAATCTCTGCAAGATCAAATGTGGTCCCACCACTTAATCAGAGGAGATTTACACGATCCGCGTTTCCATGAACCAAACACGTTGGTCATCTTGTATCACAGTACTTTGTAACAACGATACTTCCAATCTTAGCCGTCTAAGCATGGACAGAGGGCTCTCACCTTCACATGTCTTGTGCATATCTCAATCTTGTTAATTACCATCCTAAGTATGCGAATGCAAATTCTAAGCACCAGTGTCTGTTTGAGTACACATAGAGTCCAAATTCCCTACTTGAGTTGTTGGACTAAAACGGTGCTCGACAGTTTGATTCAAACGCAGACTAATAACTTGCTATGTAATGGCTTGGTCGCAGATTAGAAGCAGGGCTATCTTTTTCTTTGAATACTTGAGATGAAGTAGCTAAAGTTCGCTAGCAAGAACAATCATGAAGAATTCTCATTGTTGTAGACTTCCATTTTTTTCATGTCTCTCAATGAGCAAAGAGGAGAGTGCTTCATGCTTTTAGAGGTCTCGTTATGATCGGAGTCTCTAATAATTTCAATGTTTTTATTATGCCAATATGCTTCATACATGTCGAAAGTTTCTTTGAATGTGCTAAGACAGCAGTTCCAGGTACCACTCCTCGTGGCCTGTTTTGTCTTGGTATCCACGACAGAAGTGTAATATTGGGTTGGTCTATTACCAGCTGTCTAGGGATCTCTGCTCTACATGGAGTTTGAGATTGAATTGTTTTGTCCATTATTTAGTTCCACAGATAGCGGCTCACATGGAACTCGACCGTTATCCCGGGTTGTACGCTTGACGAAATTGGTGCCGGTACGTGGCTCTTCAGAATCCGTTTTAATTTGCATCTCTCCCAATGCCTGCCATGGTCACCTTGGCCCTGACCCTGACCCTGTAGCACTGTTTTGAAGGTGCACTATCTAAGTAGTGATGGGGCTGAAGGAGAGAATCCTTGTCATTGGAGACTAGCTCATTGATCCAAATAATATTCTCTTTTTCATGTCCACCGAGATCTGACGAACCTGCAGTATTTCTATATTTATCCTTCATGCGATGTCGCTATTGCCTAGCTCACCAGATTCGGTTGACAGTCTGCTGGTAAAACTTCTCCTTTCTGCGCATTCTACAACTGCCTCACATAACGATGAAGGGGACTGTTTGCTTCAGTTCTATCGTTTTGGCAGCTCATTCTCATGTGACTGACGTGGTTAACTGACATGATATGTTTTTGCTTGTGATGTACCGGGCGAAGCTGTAGGGCTGGCATCTGTAGTATGAGGATCTCTGGATGAGCTTCATCTGGTGACTTTATCGTTCAACTTGCATCGGTAAGACCCCAGTGAACATTTACACATTTGACATCGTGGTTGTAACTGGTAGTTGTTGTCAAAATTTAACCCTGATGATCAGCGGCCTGTTCTCGAGTGATATGTAACTCGGTAGTGGCGTTCTTAAATGACTATGAAAGGTTGCTACAACCGTTACACTGTCCTTGAGCAGAGTAGGGAGCGCGAATCCCTGAAAGCTCAATTTAGAGTACCAAACAGCTGGTCAGAGAATGCCGGTTTTTCTGAAAAGCGATATCCTGAAAGTTTTCGTGATAATTGGGAGAAGTTGTGAGATCACACTCGAGGAGGTTTCGAAGTGAGGTATTACTCGCAGACATGTGAATTGCATCTGTCAGATTAAGCGTAGTTCCAGTCCGTCTAATTGGGTATTAATCCTGCACATCTAAGAGAGATCGATTCTTTCGAAATCAGTGCTGCTTTGGTGCTGCAGTTCGAAACGGAGCCTACACTATCTATCTTTCAAATATCATGAACACGGCAGCTAACGTTTTCCAACACTTCCACAGGATATCATAGAATTTGCTACGTCGCAACGAACATTCAGTTGTTTCAGTGATGCTTAAGAGCAGTCGGAGCTGTTCGAATCAAATAATCCTGCCGAAGATGTAATGATCGAACAAGCCATGCATGCTGGATGATTAGTAAACCTCGAATCTCTTCTTACGTGCTCCAAAACGAGAGTGAAACATCAATCCACTACTTAGACGTGAAAAGCCTGCTCATTTACAGCCGATTTTAGATGCGCATTGTGCAGTGGCCGATAACAATGAACATCATCAGATGGTGAATTTCCGCATTAGTGATTGCAGTCTGAAAGCAAGTAAGAGCGAGAATTGCTGATACATCTGGCATACATAAATGACAATGAGGTCTTACTACTTCGGAGCAAAAGAAAATCGACCATCGAAAAACGATGATTTGATCAAAGCAATAGAGAATTATGATTTCCTTACCTGAAAATAGATTATATCTATAACTATGAAATATTAAATAGACCAATTCTTTCACTAAATAGACCCACTCATGGATTAAAAGTATAGTGGTTATTATGAATGTGGTTGGTTTCTATTGATTGCCAATACAATAGTGAAGAAATGGATCTAAAGACCATTTTTCTTTTCTCATGATGGTTAGGATGGATACGTCTGTTTGGTATAAACTTGGGTCTATTTAACATTTTCTAATATGTATAGGAGAATGATAAAGTGACCCAAATTTTTATTAAAGCAATCCATCTATCATCACAATTTGTATATAGATAGTGTAAATCTTCTTCATCATTAGGACCATAATCTACATTTAGATAAACAAAATCATTATTTTGGATATAGTTTCTAATGGTTCTTAATCGTTCCGAATGGTTCTCAATAGTTCCCAATGGCTAATAATAATATCTCTTTATTCCTCTTATCTTACTTGCCTTGTAAGTATGTGTGTATTCAATTTACTTCTTCATCTTATTCTAGTATATATTCTTTTTCAGATTGTATGTAGTGGACAAAAGAGAGAAAATTGTATATTTTATAATTTTTTTATATTTTGCAATGGAAAGTGAGGGATATATGTATGTACCACCAAAGAGGTATTTTGAGAGTATAGAAGAAATGAAAAGGTATTATTGCATTTGTTCATAATCAAGGCTATATCATATGCAAATTACATTTGCAACCGGCCAAAAAAGAACTAACTTTATAATTTCTACCTGCAAGCATCCCACCAAAAAATGTTGTTATTGCCTTACATGAAAATGATTCTAATAGCAAAGTCATTGCTCAAACTATTTATAATGAATAGCAAAAATTATATTGCATTACATTTGCTAGACAATCACTTGTTATATGTCTTATAGAAACTTTATAAGGTACTAATTACCATTTTATTTATCATTATGATGAGAAGGATAAAATTACTTATCTATTTTTTGCACATTCCAATTGTATTCAACTTGTAAAAAGGTACCATTTTTCTATTGTCATGGATTGTATATACAAAACAAATAGATTTAAAATAAAAATGTTACATATTGTAGGAATGACAAGTTTCAATATCTCATTTATCATTGGTATTGTTTTTTTCCAAGAAATACCAGAATCCTTCTATTGTTGGACATTAATCCAACTTCAATAAGTGTATGGAGAAATTCGATCCATTTGCATAGATGCTGATAGAAATTTAGCATTAATAAATGTCATTGAATTAATATTTTATACTTCAAACATATTACTCTCTATTTGGCATATACAAAAAAATGTATTAGCAAATTGCAAAAAATACTTTTCAAATGAAGTAGAGTTAGGATGGTCTTCATTCCTTGCAAATTAGACCATTGTGATTAATGCATGTTTTGTAGAGATTTTTTATTTGGAGTGTAATAATCTTTGCAATAAATCCATTTTTACTATTATTCATGAAATTATTGAGTACTTAAAGAATACTTGAATACTATACAAGAAGAGATTTATTAAAACTTGGATAAATAATCTAATTCATTTTAAAAGTGTTACTACATCTTGAGTAGAGGGTCAACATTCAACATTGAAATCCTACTTAAAAGTCTCTACTAAAGACCTTAGATAAGCTCAAATTTCTCTTTCTTATTTTTTTGAGAATACAACAAGACAATTGAATGCTTAAGAAAGTTCAGAACAAATTCATATTTCTCTTCAATACAATATTGGTTTCTTCACCAACGTTGTGAAACATATATTTTTACATGCTTTTAATCTTGTTGTTCAGCAATATAAACAAACAAGAGTAGAAATTGATGAACACAATTTTTCTTGCAGAAGGACAATAATAAATACATTTGATCTATGATATAAGCATCAAATGAAAATTTTATTGAAAAGAGAAGATGTTTTGTCAATTAGTAATTTTCATCATCAATATTACTTAGTAAATACTCCTAACTAGTTTATTCTAATACCACCTAGAGTTCCATTTTCTTCTGAAAGTTAATGTCCACTTTATACTATTAGTCAAAATTTGGATGTTTTACATCTTCATCAATAAAAGAATTTACATAAAATATTGGTTGAACTTTCAATAGGTAACTATGTCATTAGAAAATCCAAAAGTAAGTCACCCAAAGGAAAGACCACAAAGAAGAAGAAATAAAACCAAAAGTAACATGTATGCAATGATTTGTATCATAGTTTGAAACTATAGAAGTAAGAATAAAGAGGCACTTTTACAGCAATTGCAAGTTCATGAAACATAATATTTTCATATGTCTTATAAGAAAAAAAAAATCCTTATAATTATCTACAAATAATTTATAAATAGAATAGAGTTTAATAATATACTAGCAAAACTATTTTTAAAAATTACTATATATAGTTATTTAAAAAATTATGGATGGTTATTACTTCAAGTAATATTAATTATCAATTTATTTCATACTACTAAAGTAAAAATGATGTATATAACCTCATTTTCTAATTAATATTTATTAACATTTTAAAATAATGTGTATATCTAAATTTTATTTAAATGATATTCAAATTTTGTTTAAAGAAAAATTTAAGTTTAAATGAGTTTGGCTACATAGAGATTAACAAAATCTAAGAGTTGCTTTTAATTTTATTCTATTAAATTGATAATTACAATAGAAATTAATAATCGCAATGTCATTCAAAGAAAGATTCTTCTTGTAAAAGAAGGAAAGGCCAATCTTACCCTCATCTCAAGTAAGAATAGGGCAATGAGATAAACTTTTGCTTGAAGTTGCTTCATGGAGGCAATAAGTTCAATTGCTTACATAGAAAGAACATCTGATTCAGATTGCAATCATGATGAGTGCAATAAAACGGCCTCTTGAAAAGCATTATATTTCTTGATCAGCTTAGTGATATCATTCAACATACTATAGATGGCAAAGTCAACTTTTGCTTTTACAAAAAAGCCTCCATTGCTTTCCAACACACACTATTCAAAATCTTACACATGCATCCAAATTTTGCAACCCAATCTTTGGCAACACACTAACAAATCTATTTACTTATCCATCTATCCTTGCAACAAATACATAATCAAGAAGATAATCAATAGAAGTGAAGGCAACGATGGAGAGGATAGTAATGTAATGAGACATTGGTAGTAAAAAAGAAATAAAATACTAAGGAAAAGAAAGCAAAGCAGCTATTTTTATAAAAGAAGACAAGTCCAAGGACTCCGCCTTCATTTTAATAAGAAGCAAGGTAGTGAAATAAATCTATGGCAGGTCCCTCCTTCTTTTAAACAAATAATTAGACTTCTAAAATTAAAGATTACGGCAACTATCATTGTCCATGGTGGCAATGAAGATTAAATTATCTTGATTGTGGATGAATGTACTTTCATTTTATAGGTTGTGGATCAAGTGGTCAAAAAATGAATCACAAGTAATTATTTTTTCATGATTGTGATGATGGATGAATTCCTTTAGTAAAAATTTAGGTCACTTTATCATTCCCTTATATATATATATATATATATAGATATATATATACTTCTAAAATTATACAAGATTACATTGCTTGCGGGATAAATAACAATTGTGGTTTTGTTAGTAAAACCAATGTATGGAGTTGTTAAAGAATTGAACACTTTTTACATAACTAATGCTTATGATTGTAATAATAATCATTGGTCTAATTTTTTTTAAAATTAATGATAGATGAAATTTAGGTGGTAAAATTTAAAATTAGAACCATATAGATTTCTTTTTTGATATTGTAGTGAAAATTTGTATAAATCTTTTTAATGTAATTAGAAATAAATTTTATTATTTGCCAACAATCCTTATCTAAGAGAATTTCTTTTATAATAATTTTAAATTTTTATTAAATATTAATTTTTAAATAAGTAATAAAAATATTTCTAATATAAAAGGTATTAATATAAAAAATAGATAAGAATACTATTATTTCTTCTCCAAACTAAAAAAATTTGTATTGTATAATAAAAAAATATATTCATATTAAAATATAAGAATATAAAATGATAGCTGATTTAATAGTATAATGCTCTTTAATGATTCTTTTTTCTTCTTTTCTAATTTGTTATTGATAACTTTGTATATATACTTTCATTTCTTAAATACTGTTTTTTATAAAGTAATCCTATTTTTTTTTTTATACATATATTAATTGAACAGATTGTCTTATTAAATTTCTACTTGCTTCTTCCATCCATACTTCCTTCAAAAATTACTTTTAATTGACCAATTTATTGCTATATTGTGTGATTTCAACCATTGAAGTCTAATATTTATAAAATTTGAAGAAGATTGGATGATATTAAAAATAATAATTAATTCTTGATTTCTTGCAATTATTGTTAAATATTTCATTACTTTAACAATTTTACTTGACATTAGATGTTACACATGAATGACCTCAAAAAGAATTGAAAAGGCCTTCTTTGTAAGTACTAAGTTTCATTACTTGAAAACAAGTATGCCAATGCTTTGAATTATTACTTATAATAACTTATACAATGAATTAAATTGACACATTAATATTACAAGAAGCTAATATTGAATATCTTGAAATTAGATTAAAATTGATTGATAATTCTTTATATTATTTGAACCAATGTACAATCAAGTTCTTAAAATTCAATCATATATATTAAAGTAAGATACATTTATTTAATTTTAATTTAATTTAAAATAAATAGTATAACTTTTCTTAAGAAAAATTCTTTTTATTAATTTTTTTACATATTTCTTTACATTTATCAATAAAATTTTAGAAATTTTAAGAATTTTAGAATTTATTTTTAATACAATTTTATACCAATTCAAAGAAATACTACTTAGAAAAGTATTTAAATATTTACTTATATAAATCTATTATGGTAATCTAAAATATTTGTTTAAATGTTCTAGTGATAATTGTAAATAAAGTTCTTAGGATTTTTTCTTTCTAAGACACATCTTACTTGGCTTCTTGATATTTAATTTTAATATAATTGATTATTGATTCTTTACAAAAAAACATTGTGTGTATTTTGTTTTACATAAATAAAAATATTTTAAATATAAGTATAATTAATTTTTAAATCCTTAATTTTTTTAGTTAAATAGTACCAAATTGGATATTAAATAATTTTATGATTATTATTTAAATTTTTTTTGGAATTTTAGTAATCTATTGTCATGGACATAATCATG